TCCCATTTTTTGCCACATATGGATCACATTACTTTGATGTGATATAACCAATATCAAGTATAATGGATAGTTTACCTGTTTCCCTTCCTGACATTGATAATGATATGAACATCAAATGTACACATCCACTATAGGCAAAGGGACAGGAAGGAATATATAGCAAAAAAAAAAAAAAAGAAAAGAAGTAGCCAAACAAAAAGAAGGCACAACTCAGGGCACTGTTCCTCTATATATTGCCCTCCAAGAAATTTTGGTGAGGCAGCAAAAGCCAAAGGGTTTTTATTAACTTCTTCAAATCTATGGAGAGAGACAGTTAACTGGGATCTTTGACTCGTTCCTTGTGTCTGAGAAATAGTGGAAGTAGCTCATGGGGAGAAATAAGGAGTATGGGCCCTTCAGTGACAGAACTGAATGCAGTGAAACTGCAAATTTTCAAGAGTATTCACCTTTGCAATTGAGTGAGCTCTTAGAAAACCTCATAAGTGAACACGGTTTGTAGGCATTCAGATCCCATACTCCTCCCTTCCACTTTAAACCTCTGATTTGGGGGAGAAGAAACCAGTCTCAGATGTAATACTGCAAGAATCAGTAATAAGACCCACTATATTGGAGTCAATAGAAGATTTAGACAGCCACAAATTAATGGCAAATAATTTGTAGTAAGAAAGGACTATAGTTTGGGAAGCCATATACAAGAACTAAAAAAAAAAAAAAAATCAAGCCTTTCCTAAAGGAGGAATTCCCCTGCATCTGAAATCATATATGCAATAATTCATTAGAATGTAAATAAAATACAAGAAGTTAAAAGACGGTAACATAAGAAAATGAAAGGAATTGAGGGTAGTAGCAGTACTAATACTACAAAAGAAACTGACTAGAGGTTTCTGAACCTTATTCTGACAATGGCAGAACTGGGAGAGGTGGGTGAAACTGAGTTAACAGTGCCTGGTCGCTGTTGAACCTCAGAAGGCGCAATTCACTGCACAGGTTCATCACCTCGTGGAGCTCTATGCAAGGATAAATTTGCGGCGAAGTCAGGATCTACTAGAGATTCTAGCTGTGTGCACTGCTTCATTGACACTATTTTTGCCATCACCAGTTGATTTGCCCAGATTATACAGAAAGGAGGGCAATAGACTATCCCCTGAGAGAATGATAGAACAGCAAAGAACTTGTTATAAGAAGATGGATGTGCCAGTGGGCTAGAGTTGAATGACTGTTGGCAATTTTTTTGGTGCTAAAAGTAACTGATCAAATGTTCAAAAAGTGAAATTGTTTATTTATTTGGAATTCAGAAATTCCAGATTGTATCACACCAGTTATTCAATTATTCCTTTTGCACCATCCAAAAAATAAAAGAAAGAAAAGTAGGTATGATGGCAAAAAAAAGGGGGGGGGGAGGGTAGTTAAAAGTAGGGGGCAGAAAAAAAGAAGATGGACAGTTGGGGATGTAACTCAGTAGCAGAAAGAAGCTCTAGTAGGTTCAACCCTCAGCACTAATAAATTGTATAAACATAGTGGTATATTAGAAACCAAAGATTAAGATTTACTGAGCTGCTTTTAATTGAAGCAGCTAAGAACAACAGTGGCTTCAAATAGAAATCAAGGGAAAGGGGCTGGGGATGTGGTTCAAGTAGTAGCGCACTCGCCTGCCATGCGTGAGGCACTGGGTTCAATCCTCAGCACCACATAAAAAATAAAGTAAGGATATTATGTCCATCTAAAGCTAAGAAATAAATATTTTTTTWAAAAAAATCAAGGGAAAGAAATATTTAATAAAGAGCAAAAACCAGAGTAGTGAGAAATAGTATAATTAATTGAATGCTGCTTATTTATAAAGATGGAATAAACATCTGGGAAGTTTGATCAAGTAAAATAGTGATGGCACAAATGAAGACTGTTAAAGAGATTTTTTTTTAATCGCAATGTTATTGTAGCTATTTGATAAAATTTTAAATGGACAATTTGCTTAAGAAATACTAAAATTTGGGGGCTGGGGCTGTAGCTCAGTGGTAGAGCACCTGCCTCGCACGTGTGAGGCACTGGGTTCGACCCTCAGCATCACATAAAAGTAAATAAATAAAGATATATATAAAAAAAGAAATACTAAAATTGACTAAAGACACAGAATACCTATTTACATGTAACTAATCATTAAAGAAGTTAAATTGGAAACCTAATCATTCTTTGCCCCCTCAAAAAGGACCCAACTTGTTTTAGAGACATTCTTTTGAAAAACAGGTTGTAATCATATCTTATACTATATTTTCCAGAGGAAAAAAGAAGGAAAGTTTTGTACTTTACTTAATGAAGTTAATGATACCTTGATAAATCAAAACACTAGACAAGTTTGGCAAAGTGTAGAACTTTTTGTCCTGGGGATTAACTCAGGGCCTTGCTTATACTAAGCATATATTCTACCAGTGAACTATACTCCCAGCTCGAGTATAGATTTTTGCTCTTAAGAACATAGATGGAGGGGCTGGAGATGTGGCTCAGCGGTAGCGCGCTCGCCTGGCATGCGTGCGGCCCGGGTTCGATCCTCAGCACCACATACCAACAAAGATGTTGTGTCAGCCGAGAACTAAAAAAAAAAAAAAAAAAAAAGAACATAGATGGAATAGAATCGGCTCTGTATTTTTAAAAATAATTTATGATCAAAGAGTATTTATCCTAGGAATGCAAGAATAACATTAGAAAATCGAAGACTGATTTGACAATACCAAAATAGATGCTATCAGGTGAATATTACTTTGTAACTAAAATTGTGGTAATTCTAGGAAGAGCTTGCTTAACTTAATATGGGCAGTGTCAACTAGTGAAATAGATTTTAGTTTACAAGAGCATTGTGAAAAAAAATCTGATTTTAAGAAATATAGGCTGGGAATGTGGCTCCTTGGTAGTGTTTGTCTAGCATACACAAGCCTTGGGTTTGATACCCTCACCACCACACACATATAGGAGAGAAGATGTTTGTGTGTTTTAAAACAGGAAAAAGAACACAAAATTTATTACATGCCTAAGGCAAGGAAGTATTAGACCAAGAAATACTTTTTAAAATACCAGCAGAGTTATATCACAACAAAGAAAGGGGCTATGTTTTGAGAATCTAATCATTAGGTGATTTCACCATGGAAATATCTAGAGTATACTTAAAATCAAGATTAACTTGAGAAAATTGGTACAATCAAGAATGCAGTAAACAGAAGATGTATGAGATTGTTGCTGATAGCGTACCGTCTCATAGTAAAATTTTAGAGAGGTATACTCTTAAAATAACAAAAAGTATAACATTGAATATATAAACCTGTAACAGTCGTTTATTGTATTACATAATGTGACTGGCAGCATGGTAGGTTTATTTAAACCACCATCACCACAAATACATGAATGATCCATTGTGCTGTGATGTTATGACAGCTACCTTGTCCCTCAATTGACCTATCATAGGAGTTTTTCACCTCTATTATAATCTCTCAGAACCACTTAAATACAGTCTGTCACTAACCAGAAGGTCTTCAGGCAACGCATGGTTATTTTCCATCAGTAACAACAAATACACATTATTAAAACTATTAAAAATGATAAGCAATAAAGGAAATCTATAACAAAGGATGAAAGTATTCATCAATGAAAAATATAATATTTAATACATAAATTTTGTACTTCAGCGCCTCCTAATGGTATACTCTAATTTAACTCTGAATATAAAATTGTAGATTAAAGAAGTCCAGGATTAGGGGATGAAGGTGAAGCTGAAGTGGTAGAGTGCTTTCCTAGTCCATGGTCAGACCCTGGGTTCAATCCGCACCATTAAAAGAAGCTGAAGTGAAGGTTGTTTTATGAATCAGTGTAAGAATTTGTGGAATACCAGACATGGTAGTGCATGTCTGTAATCCCTTGAAAAGTTGAGGCAGAATTGCAAGTTCAAGGCCAGCCTGGGCAATTTTGTGAGACCCTGTCTCAAAACCAAAAAAAAAGACTAGAGATAAGTATATAGCTTACTGGTAAGCTCTTGACTAACATGTGAATTCAATCCCCTGTAACAGCCCCCCCCCCAAAAAAAAATACAAGAACTTGAGTGATTATTAATTTTTCATTGACCTTTTAAACTTGTAAATAAGATTATTCTTTTTAAAACACAGCTTTATTGAAAGAAAATTTCTGTACTATATTTAGAATATACACTTTCTGTACTACATTTAGAATATACACTTCAGTAGCTTTTAATACACTCATATATTATGTGTGTGTGTGTCACAATAGTAGAATGTTTTCATTACCCCCAAAAGAAACTTTATATTCCTTAGCTGTTACTCTCTAGTCCTCTACCTCCCATTTACTTTCTATCTCTACAGATTTACCTATTTTGGTTATTGCATGTAAATGTACCTTATGTCATGACCCTTTGTGACTGACTTGTGTCACTTAACACAATGTTTTCAAAATTACAGCATATATTAGTAGTTTCTTTCTCTCTTCTCTCTTCTCCCCCTGATCTTTTTCCCCAAGGTACTAGGGGTTTGAACCCAGGAGCATTTTATCATTGAGTTACATCCCCAGCCTGAGTCCATCAGTTTGTGGATGGTTTCCATTTTGGGACTATTAGGAATAACGCTGCCATGAATGTATGTAAACAAGTTTTCATTCCTTTTAAGTAAATACCTAGGAGGAATTGTTGGAATAGATGATTACTTTGTTGTAGCTTTCTGAGAAAATGCCAAACTGTTTTTCACAGCAGCTACACCATTTTACATTTGTACCAATGGAATATGAAGGTTCCAGTTTCTCAATTATCTTTGGAAACATTGTTATTCATTTGTTATAGAAACACTAGTAAAGTGATATTTAATTTTGTAGTTTTCATTTTATGCCTTATAAGGCACATTTAAAATGTTTTTCCCCCAAATTTTCTCTTACTAGATAAGAAATTATACCTTTAAATTTGTGATGAGTTTTTAAAAAAAAAAAAACAACTGTTGATTTTATTTTTCTAACAGGCTAAGGAAATTTTAACGAAAGAGTCAAATGTGCAAGAAGTTCGGTGTCCTGTTACTGTCTGTGGAGATGTACATGGCCAATTCCATGACCTTATGGAACTCTTTAGAATTGGTGGAAAATCACCAGATACAAACTATCTATTCATGGGTGACTATGTAGACAGAGGTTATTATTCTGTGGAGACTGTGACTCTTCTTGTAGCATTAAAGGTATGATTGATGAAATTCACTTTTCTTTATTTCCTCCAAATCACCTTGCATATGCCACCAAGTTAAATCTCTCTTATTAACATTTATATCTTATTTCCTATTCCCATTGATTCCATGTTGCTTATACAATTAATCTCCTTGGCTGTCCATTTATAGTCTAGTCTAAATTTGCCTGCCTTTAGTTGATAACATAAACTCTTTGCCTCAAATAAAATAATTTTGTATTCAGTGCTCCAGATTACCTCCATTTATTTCCTTATTCAGTGTCCCCAAAAGATTGCTCTGACGCTGATTTCTCATCCCTTCTGCCCAAACTCAGCTCATATTGTTCCTTTCATGAAAGCTTTAACCATTTTTGCCTTATTCCTTCTACTCTAAATTATTATGATGAAACTTACTCTCACACCCCCTATCATGTCATATAATGGCTTATTACCTTGTATTATTTATGCCATCTATTTCCTTAATTAGATTAGTCCAGCAGAGGCCATGTGTTATACTTGTGTGAACCTGGCACCTAACTTTATAGCACCAAATTTAATGTTGGACACATAATGGATTCTTAGTGCATATGTATGAATTGAAGTAAGCATTTGCAGCTTTTTTGTTAATTTACAGAATCTGATGCTTTTTCATACTTCTCATCAGATGTATTTCTAACTAAATACAGGTTGAATATCGCTTAGCTAAAATGCTTGGGACCAGAGGTATTTAAGATTTGGGACTTTATCCCCCAGAATATTTACATACACATATGAGATTTCTTGGGGATGGGACTCAAGTCTAATCACAAAATTAATTTGTTTCATATATTCCTTACACACATAGCCTGAAGGTAATTTTATATAATATTTTTAGTAAATTTTTTACATGAAACATAATTTCATAGCATGGAATTCTCCCACTTGTGGCATCATATCAGCACTCAAAAAGTTTCAGATTTTGGAGCATTTCAGATTTTTAGATTAATGGTGTTCAGCCTGTGGTGTGCTGTAGGGTATGTTTTTCTGTTTTTTTCATAGAAAGGAAACTGTTAATACATTTGAAATCTCGCCCACATTTGGCAAGGGCCTGTTGTTTTTATTGGCAAATCCAATATTCCTGTGGCATTGAAAAGAAAAGAAGTCCGTAAAGTCTGTCTTAGGTTCAAATCTCAGATCTTCAGTATTCATTCAACAGTAAGAAGTCATAGTGTTCTACAAAGATGTAAAAATACTTGTTGATAGTTTAATAATCTCCAGTAATGGAAAAAATCAGATACATGCTTATTATAGTAGTATGRGTATCATTTTAAGGTTATTTTTTWAAAAATATTTATTTCTTAGTTGTAGTTGGATGCAGTGCCTTTATTTTATTTATCTTTATGCGGTGCTGAGAATCAAACCCAGGGCCTCGCACATGCTAGGCGAATGCTCCACCGCTGAGCCACAACCCCAACCCCCTCATTTTAAGGTTATTAATGAACATGGACAGCTACAAAAAATATTTCAAAGGTTAATCAAAATGACCTTGTTGGGGAGCTGTGGCTGTGGCTCAGTGGTAGAGTGCCTGCCTAGCATGTGTGAGGCACTGGGTTCGATTCTCAGCACCACATATAAATAAATGAATAAAAGGCCCATCAACATCTGAAAAAATTTCCAAAAAGAATGACCTTGTTGGGAATGAGAAAGTTTCTTATTCTAAAAAAAAGTTAATGTTTACAAGTGAACAAAAAGCAATTTGAAGAAATGGGTCAGAGGTTAATGATCTTGACATTATACTAGTGAAAATGTGATTATAATGTGGGGGTTTTTTTCCTTTTTTTTCCCCTAGGTGCGTTATCCAGAACGCATTACAATATTGAGAGGGAATCATGAAAGCCGACAAATTACCCAAGTGTATGGCTTTTATGATGAATGTCTACGAAAGTATGGAAATGCCAATGTTTGGAAATATTTTACAGATCTATTTGATTATCTTCCACTTACAGCTTTAGTAGATGGACAGGTGTGTAAGTTTTATATCTTGGGGGGAGGCTAAACATAAGAATATATTTAATAATTTAAGGTATAGATTTACATACTATTTCTGCTTGTCTTTGGCCTTTTCAGCCTTTTTTTGTCTTATGCTTAAAATGTCAGAAAAGGGAATTGGTAAGTTTTATGTACATAAGTCTTTGGTTTCCAAAAATTTTTTGTTTTAGAAATTCTAGCCAATGCACTGAGCAGTAGAAATTTGTCTGTGTAAATGCTAATGTGCTTTTTAATTATAGATAAATACTATAAATAAATGCTTTAGATTACTAAAACAGGATACCAACTATCTCCACACATATACACAGTGTCTGCTGGTTACCATTAAAAATCTTTCATTACTGTTTTCRCAGTAATTGCGAATTTTAATATATTGTGTTTATATTACCTTCTTCACTAAGAAGCTAGTGCCTTCTTTCTACTAATCATAAATATTGTAGCTATAACCACAAAACATTCAAAAGTATAAGAAAAACTATGCAAGTTTCCTATTCCAGTTTTCTAGAAATTTCGCTGCAAGTATGAACTGATCTAAATTTAAAAATACAATAAAATTCTGGCAGTTCTTAAATTATAAAAGCCCAAAGTTGTCAAGGGTGTAACAGATACTCTGCTGACGAGAGTATAATTCAGTTATCACCTTCTATGTATAATCCTAACAACCCGTATTTTCTCAGCCATAATTTTGGGCACTGCAATATTTAAAATAATAACATTTTACCTAGACTTGCTAAAATGAAAGCATGAATTTATAAAATATTGAATAAGGTTTTTAATTTTTTAAATCAATAGTCTTAATGGACAAAATTATTTCAGGAAGAGAGCCTATCCGTATTGGTAGCATATCTCATTTTTCAGATAAGTACATAGGTGGAGCTTTTATATTAAATGCCCATCACCTACCAGCATCATCCAGACTCTTACTTGTAATGGGCCGATGATTTTTACTGTTAACAGTACTTTAAAGAAACAGAACAGTATACACATACCATTGATGACATTATTGTTTTAAAAATGTTACTGAAAGAATGTATATACCTCAGAAATAAAACAAATAGGTGTATTGAGTTTTTTAACAACAAGACAAGCTTACCTAGCAGGGAGATAGTATAGTGTTTGGTGTATTGTACCAAGATAACCAGGTCTAAGTACTTTTATAGATCAGTTCCACCAAACTTTTAGGGAATATATGATTTCTATGTTTCAGAGCTTGGTTGGTGGGGAGGGGATGAAGAGCCTTAAAACTTGTGCTGTATGCATAGTATAACCCCAGTAAACAACCAGATATGGCAAACACAGAAAAATAAAAATCAGATCAAAATTATTTGGGGAGGGGGGGAATGAAATGTCTGCAATTTAAAACTCAGTTTTAAAGAAAAATTATAGCATTAATTCTGGGATGTACTTATTATACTTAGTGAAATATTACAGACTTTCCCATCAAAATCAGAAAAATACTTACTAAAACCTATTGGGCATGGTTGTAAACACGTGTAATCCCAGCAACTCAGGAAACTGAGGCAGGAGGATAACAAGTTGAAGCCAGCCTGGCAGTATAGTGAGACCCTGTCTCAAAAAGAACTGGGAGTATAACTCAATGGTAGAACACCCCTAGGTGTTCAACCCCAGTACTACAAAAACAAACAAACAAAAAAATGCATTATTCTCCCTGATTCAGAATCCCTAGCAGATTGGTCCTGAAAATAGATTGTTCACAAAAACCAAAAACATTGTATTGCTCAATTTTGTTTTAGAAATCTAGCCAGTGCACTGAGCAGTAGAAAGAATTAAAAGGCATAACATTAAGAAGAAAAAATATATATTTTTACAAATAATGTGATTCTGTATTCAGAACATTTGATAAAACTGAAAAACTTTTGTAACCAAAACTAAGAATTAGTAGGAAGATTGTTGAAAGAGCCAGTTTTATACATCAGCAATAACCAACAGAAAATGTAATGGCCAGCATGAAAATGGGGATCATATTCACCAGAGAGAAAACACTATATAAAATACCTAGGATCGGGGCTGCTACAGTGCTTGCCTAACATGCAGAAGACCTTTAGGTTTGATGCCCAGCACTGCAAAACACAAGACACACATACACCCCTAGGATTATTAAATAAAAGATGGGAGAGACTGACTGAAATGTTAACAGTTCTAATTATGTGATTTTGGTTTTCCGTTGTAGTTTTTACATTTTCCACAGCAAATATTAACAGACTTTACTTTGAAGAGATATTAGGACTGACGTTGGTAATCATTATTTGCTCTTCATTGACATAGCAATTAGAAAAATAAATAACATTTTCCTTACTTTTAATTCAAAAACAGATATTCTGCCTCCATGGTGGCCTCTCTCCATCCATAGATACACTGGATCATATAAGAGCCCTGGATCGTTTACAAGAAGTTCCACATGAGGTAAACTTAGTTTTTGTATTAAAAAAAAAAAAAAAAATGACCACCACATTGTGGGAAAGCTAAATATTAGACTGCCAATCCCTAAAAAACAAATGCCGAATGTCTTCTCTGATATAAGGGAGGTGACTCAAAACAGAGTAGGAAGGAAGAGCATGAGAAGATGATTACCACGAAACAAGGAAAAGAGATGGGAGGGAGAAAGGGAATTGCATGGAAGACGGAAGGAGACCCTCATGGGTTCACAAAATACATATACGATGGTGTGAGGGGGAAGGGAAGGGAAAAAAAAAGAGATAAGTGTCACAGTAGAATGGGTAGAGAATAGTGATGGGAGGGGAGGGGGGATAGGGAGGGCAGCAGAATACAACTGACGCTAGGATTGCTGTAGTATACATATGGATGTATAACTAATGTGATCCTGCAATTTGTACATGTGGAAAAATGAGAATTCATACCCCATTTGAATCAAATGTGTGATATGTCAAGATCATTGTATTGTCTTGAGCAACTAATTAAAAAAATAATAATAATTTATAATATGTATTTAATTTTCTTGACCAGGGCCCAATGTGTGATCTGTTATGGTCAGATCCAGATGATCGTGGTGGCTGGGGTATTTCACCACGTGGTGCTGGCTACACATTTGGACAAGACATTTCTGAAACATTTAACCATGCCAATGGTCTCACACTGGTTTCACGTGCTCACCAGCTTGTAATGGAAGTATGTACTTTTCCTACAGGATGATCTTTATTTCAGATAATATTAATATCTGTAATAAGGTTTCAATATTAGCATTTAGGAAACATTCCTTATTTATTTTAGCAAAGAGGAAAGTTGGCCAGAACAAAATGATAATTCAGTTTTGAAACTGAGACTTAGAGAAAAATTGTAACAGTAGTACCCTAAAGTTGTGTTTCACCCTTCAGAGTGCTAAATATAAATGTTTTACTATATTTGCTTTATTTTCCCTTTCCTTTTCCCTCCTCTTACACTATTTTTTTTCTGAACCATTTAAATGTTAGGTATAGACAAATTACCCCCAAATTTTCTTGTGGTTTGTTGTTGTTTTAAATTAAGGACATTCTCTTATATAACCAAAAGTATAGTTATTATAGTCAGGAAATCAGTACTGGTATAGTGCTATTGACTAATAAACATTGTAGTCAAATTTTGCTAATTATGTCTGTCACCCAGTGTCCTTTAGCAACATTTAATTTTTGCATATGTGCATATCTAAGATCACGTTTGCATTCAATCTCCTTTGGTTGGGAAATAATTCCTTAGATTTTCTTTGTTTTGTGTGATCTTGACATTTTGTAGTAGTACAAGCAATTTATTTTACAGAAATCTCTCTTAGTTGAGATTTGACTGATGTTTACTTGTGATCATAGATTCAGGATGAGCACTTTTGGCAGCTATACTGCAGAAAGACATTGTGTCCTCTGTGCCTCTTAACCAAGGGGTCATGAAATCTATTTGTCCCATTGCTGGTGGTGTTAAACTGATTACTTAGTTCAGGTGACCCCTGCCTGATTTCTCCACTGTATCATTACTACTTTGTTAACTACTAAAGGACTAGAAATATAACCACTCCAAATCAGTAGGGAATGGTTTCAGGATGTTAGAACAAAACATTACTAACCTAGTAGAGACACATAGAGGGCAGGAATATGATAAAGAACATAAATTCATGGGGCAAAAATAAATCTAATTGTGTCAATAATCATAAGAAGTATAAATAGACTAAAACTTTCTTGCCTAAAAGACTATCTATTTACAACTAAAAAATGATATTCCCAGATTGGATAAATAAATCAAAATTTAGCTGTTATCTGGGACTTGCCGAAAAACATTACAAGCTAGAGGTAAGGAATGGGAAATGGTGTATATCAAGTAGATAATATCCAAAATACAGCCAATAATATGAATCAGAATAGACTCTAAGGTAAAAAGTATGATTAGGAATAAAACAAGGTCATTATTGATGAAAATTGGCCCAGAAGAAAAAGTTTGCATTTGCCTAATAATAGCTTCAAAATATATAAACCAGGGGCTGGGGATGTGGCTCAAGCRGTAGCGTGCTCGCCTGGCATGCGTGCGGCCCAGGTTCGATCCTCAGCACCACATACCAACAAAGATGTTGTGTCCGCCGATAACTAAAAAATAAATAAATAAATATTTAAAATATATATATATATATATAAACCAAAAATTGATGAAGTTTATGAGGGAATCTGTCATCTTTTTTACTACATTTTTTAAATTGATGTATTATAGTTGTACCTAATAGTGGTATTTGTTGCTACATATTGGGAATCTCATATTTGTGGAAGAAGTTTCAGTATACACCCGAAGATATGTAGCGTAGATAAGGAAATCTACACAGTTCTGGGCCCAGCAGTTGTACAGTATTCTGTGTAGGTACAAAAATTTAAAGATGAAGCCAGGTGTGCTGGCACATACCTGAAATCCCACGAGGCTGAAATAAGATCCTGAGTTCAAAGCCAGCCTCAGCAACTTAGTGAGGTACTAAGCAACTCAGTGAGACTCTGTCTGTAAGTAACAAAAAAGTGCTGGGGATGTGGCTCAGTGATTTAAGTGCCTGAGTTCAATCCTTGGTGCCAAAAAAAAGAAAAAATTAAAGATGAGRATAATGTAAGGTGGTAGAGGTGACTACATATCCACAGAGAGAATTTGTAATTTTTTTATTTCTCTATTTCAAGATAATTTTATAATGAAATATTATTTTTTGTCCTGCAGGGATATAATTGGTGCCATGATCGGAATGTGGTTACCATTTTCAGTGCACCCAATTACTGTTACCGTTGTGGGAACCAGGCTGCTATCATGGAACTAGATGACACTTTAAAATATTCTTTGTAAGTAACTTTAAATTTTAATTGTATAGAGCTGGGGATATAGCTCAGTTGGTAGAGTGCTTGCCTTGCATGCACAAGGCCCTGGGTTCAATCCCCAGCACCAAAAAAAAAAAAAAAAAAAATGTATAAAAGCACTTTTTTAAAAGAAAATTCGTTAATGTAGCTATTAAAAATAGAGGTAGATGAGTTCTGCTTCTGAAATGGTACAATGAGAAGTGTGGTAAACCTCCCCAATAAAAAAAACAATGAGAAACTGGAGGAAAAAACTTATTTTCTTTTTGGTATAGGAGATCAAACCCAGGGTCTTGCACATGCTAGGCAAGCACTATACCCCCAGCTCAGGAAATTGTTTTTTTAAATATTGGGGCTGGGGTTGTAGCTCAGTGGTAGAGCTCTTCTTGCCTTGCATGTGTGAGACATTGGGTTTGACTTAGCATCACATAAAAATAAATACATAAATAAAATAAAGATATTGTGTCTGTTTACAACTGAAAAATATTTTTTAAAATATTGCTTAAAGTATAAATGTAACATTAAATATAGAAGCAATATATAATAAAAAACATAAATATATTTCTAAAAATTATTTAGTTTTTGGAAATTGTCCTAAGAGATTACAGTAAATAGAGAAACAGTTAAGATCTACTAAATCTCGGAGGTTGTGGCTTTGAGCCATTACATGCTCCTTCCCCTGCTCCCACATCCCTCTTATAGAAACTACTCTAGTTGCTTTACTCTGGGTTAGTATAGTCAAGAAGTTGAGGGCATCCCCTTCTGCAGATTCCATTCTAGGCTTATGATCTCATTTCAGCACCAACATATCCCACCTGCCTTTGTCCTGGGTTGCAGATGTTCTACTCATGATGGGTGAAGTTTAGTGACTGAGACTCCTTCCACAACCATTTCTAGGGTGAAAGCTCTATTCCAGACATGGATAGAAGGCTGAGAACACTGGGTTTCCAGTTGTTCTTGCCATGGTACCTGCTTACAAATCAGGAGTTGTCTCACAAGCAGGCCATCCCTATTGGCCTGCTATCCATCTGTTTTCCCCCCTCCCTACAGTAACAGAAGTTCTGCTCAGGGTGGAGAGACAGACCAAAAAAAGTTGCTCAGCTCTTGTCTGAGAGAACTAGCCCTGCTTGGAATTCTCCATCCTCTATTCTAAGTCTCTGAATCCTTTGTCAAAAACAATGAATATCATGCTGGAGACCAAGGAAAAGAACTTTCATAGTTCCTACCATACTTACAATAATAAGCTAAAGAGCAGAGTAAGAAGTTTAATAGATAAAAGTAGGAAAGGAGATAGCCAAGAAAAGCTCGGCTGGGTTTGGGGATGTGGCTCAGTGGCTAATCACCCTGGGTTCCATCCCTGGTCCCAGCTTGGCTGGGATCACAGTCTGTTAGCACTATGAGGCCAGAAGGCTATGCACATATACTAACTGCAACCTCTTAGGAGCAGAATATGGCGAGGGTTATTCCAAGCCACACATAGTGAGTTAATTAGTGTCCCCTCTAAAATTCATGTCTCCAATTATGGTAATATTTGGGAATAGGGTCTTTGCAAATATAATTTTAAAATACAGACATACTAGATTCTTCTCAGAGGAAAAGAAACACAGACACATAGGTGAGAAGCCACATGACATCAGACGAGAAGCAACCTATCTATAAGCCAAAAATTTTATCTACCAGAAGAAAAGCCAGGGAAAAACAGGAATAATGTTTCCACAGGGTCTTCAGTGGATGGTCAGCCAATACCTTTATTTCAGACTCTACCATCCAGAACTCTGGGAGAATAAATCTCTGTTGTGGTTATTTGTTCTGAGAAAATATTAGAAAGGTCAACAAAGTACGTGTGTCTACTAGGGGCTTAAACATAACCTTTACTGGCTAAACAAGTTTCTCTGGCCTTGGAATACATTTTAGGAAGCCAGGCTTTAAAATAAAATCGTACTTTATCCTTTGCAGTCTTGAAGAGAGTACATGCTTAAGGTCACATCCTCTCAGGACTGATTGGAAAAGGAAAATCCAAGTGAGACTGAATCTCAGGAATGCAAATTTGGGTTGGACGTGGTGGCACATGCCTGTAATCCCAGTGGCTGGGGAGGCTAAGGCAGGAAGATCGCGAGTTCAAAGCCAGCCTCAGCAAAAACAAGGCACTGAGCAACTCAGTGAGACCTGTCTCTAAATAAAATATAAAATAGGGCTAAGGGTGTAGCTTAGTGGTCGAGTGCCCTGAGTTCAATCCCCTTACCCCTCCCCCCAAAAAAATCCAAATTTGGGCCAGGCGAAATAGCACATGCCCATAATCCCAGTAACTCTGGATGCTGAGGCAGGTGGATTTCGAGTTCAAAGCCAGCCTAAGCAACTTAGCAAGACCGTGTCTCAAAATTTTAAGAAAGGGCTGGGAATGTAGGTTAGTGGTTAAGCACCCATGAGTTCAGTCTCCAGTACTCCCCCCCACCCCCGCAAAAAAAGAATGTAAACTTGTTTCAAAACATGAAAAAAAAAAATTAGTCCAGGGCTGGGGTTGTGGCTCAGTGGTAGAGTGCTCACCTAGGTTGCATGAGGTACTGGGTTTGATCCTTGGCAACACATAAAAATGAAATAAAGATATTGTGCCTACTTACAACTAAAAAGTAAATATTTTAAAAATAGTAGTCCATATTAACTTTTAAAATATTTTTGTAGTAGATGGAAACAATAACTTTATTTAATTTTTATGTGTTTGCTGAGGATTGAACCCAGTGCCTCACACATGCTAGGCAAGCACTCTACCAACTGAGCTACAACCCCAGCCCCATTCTGTATTAATATTAAAGACAAAAACCAAATGACCATTTTAGTAGAGGCAGAAAAATCACTTTATAAAACCCAGAGTCCTTTCAAAATAAAAATACTCAATATACAGCCAGGCAAGGTGGTACACACCTGTAATCCTAGCTCCTCAAGAAACTGAAACAGGAGGATCACAAGTTGGAGGCCAGCCTGGGCAACTTAGACTGTCTCAAAAAAATTAGGGGTGTAGCTCAATGGTAGGGCCCTTACCTAAGGCCTTGCACAAGGCCCTGGGTTTGATCCCCAGTACTGCAAAAATAAATAAATAAAACTAGTAATTTCTCAACCTAATAAAGGTATCATATTTAATATAGAAAAAACAGTTCTTCCCCCACTAGCATCAGTAGTGAGAGAAGCATGTCCAATCTTACTATATATCCATTTAACTGATACAGATCTTTTTTTTGCCAGGCACTGAAACAGACATTTTATTTGTTTAAATTTTTACTGTGGCTCTGTGAACTGGTAACATAGTTACTACCATCTACAGTGAAGTGCCCAGGGCCATTCCAGCTACATGTGTAGTAGAGAGCCAGGACTATTATTTCCATCAGGTGTCTTGTTCTTTATTGGTTGGTTTGTTTGCAAAGTCAAATACTTCAATGATTTATTTTCTTCTGCCATTTATAGTCTTCAGTTTGACCCAGCACCTCGTCGTGGAGAGCCTCATGTTACCCGGCGCACCCCAGACTACTTCCTGTAAATTCCTCCTGGGAAAACCTGCCTTTGTATGTGGAAGTATACCTGGCTTTAAAAAAAAAAAATTATATATATATATGTATATATATACATGTATATATATACACATATATATTTAAAAACAGAAAAAGCAACAGTAGTAATCTGTGTGTTTCTGTAACAAATTGTGACCTGTCTTTGGCATTAAACCACATCATGGACCAAAATGTGCCATACTAATGATGAGCATTTAGCACAATTTGAGGCTGAAATTTAGTACACTATGTTCTAGATTGTTCAGTCTAACAGTATGCCTGCTGTATTTGTAGTAACCATTTTCCTCTGGACTATTCAAGCAAAAAAGGTAACTAACCACATCTTCTCTGCRCTTACTTGGAAATTTTAGTTTTAGTGTTTAACTGGCATGGATTAATAAGAGTTGGAGTTTTATTTTTTGTGAAAAATTTCACAAGCTGACTTCCACTTAATCCATTACCCTTTATTTTATTGAAATGTATAATTAACTTAACAAAGAAGTCTTCTTGGGAGTATGTTGTCATAACATTAGATTTCCCTTCATTTAAACTAAATTACTGTTTTATGTTGATCTGCATATTTCTGTATATTTGTCATGACAGTGCTTGCATCCTATTTGGTGTACTGAACAAATAAACTTTCCATTTTAAACAAAAACATTGGTTTAACTGTGATGAGCATTAAATGGAAGTTTCACTGTTTTGAAATTTGATATGAAATCTCTTGTAGTAAACAGTTCTATCGAGGTAATTTAATGTTCTTGTATAGTTTATTTTCAGAAAAGAATCCAAACATTAGCTCATATCTTAGACCATTAAAAAGCCATTTTTATTTTTAAACATTATTAGATAATTTATATTAATATATTCAACCACTTCAAGTACAAAATATAAATTTTATGTTGTAACTAAAGAATATGCTATGACTAGGGAAAATTTTWAATACTGAAATGTTTTGAACTAGAAACAAATAAATTGGTATCTGAAAGAATTTAGTATTAGTAGTAAGAGATGGTACTGTTCAGATATATAAATTGCAAATCCTTTTTAAAGGGGAGAGTATGGAATCAGTGGTTGAGAGAGAATGTGGAAGATGACACATAGAATCAGTTGTTGAGAGTGAATGTGCGAGATGGCACAAAGGGGAAGAAACTCCACTATTTTTTTTAGAAGAAAATTAGCTGATGGAAATAAGTATAAACATCTCAAAATCACAGTCAGTGTAAATGGACTGAATTAAATAAATAGACTTGGAGACAATATTTTAGAGTATATCAGTACATATAAAATTACCTGATTTCTAAACCTCAATATGTTTTGTGTGGTTTCATTGTGTACCCCAAAATTCACGTGTTGGAAACTTAATCCCCAATGCAATAATGTTAAGGGGGGGGGAACAAGTTCAGTCCTCCCTTGCTCTGAGATCTTATGCCCTTCAGCCTTCCTCCATGGAATGACAAAAGGCAGCCCTCATCAGATGCCAGCCCCTTAATCTTGGACTTCCCAGCCTCCAGAACTGTAAGAAAGAAATCTGGTTTTTATAAATTATTTAGTCTCAGGTATCCTGTAGCTCACAGAACAGACTAAGATAAAATTGATACTGAGAACTGGGATTGTTGCAAAAACATACCTGAAAATGTAGAAAGTGGTATCCTTTGAACAAGATAGAGTCTGATGCTAGACATGGTGGTGCAGGGCTGTAATCCCAGCGGCTAAGGAGGCTTAGGGAGGAAGATTGTGAGTTCAAAGCCAGCCTCAGCAACTTAGTGATGCCCTAAGCAACTCAGCAAGAGCCTGTCTCTAAATAAAATATTTTAAAAGGGCTGAGGATATGATTTAAGTGCCCCTGGGTTCAATTCCCAGTGTTAAAAAAAAAAAGTCTGAAAGATTTTGAGGGGCATCCTAGAAAAAGGCTAGATTGTTATAATCAAAGCTTTTTTAAATAAATGTTTTTAGTTGTTGTTGGACCTTTAATTTTTATTTATTTATATGTGGTGCTGAGAATGGAACCCAGTGCCTCACACATGCTAGGCAAGCACTCTACCCACTGAGCCACAACCCCAACACCCAGAATCACTCTTAAAGCTCTGATATAGGCTGGGTTCAATCCTCAGTACCACATWAAAAAAAAAAGGTACTGTGTCCATCTACAACTAAAAAAAATTAAAAAGTGACTCTGGTAAGAGCTCAGAAGAAAAAATGTGGGGAGAGTCTGAAACTTCAATTACTTAAGTGATCATAGAATATTGGTAAAATTATGGAAAGTAAAGCCATTCTGATGAGGTTTCTGATTAAAATGAAGAGCAAGCTATTGGAAATTTGAATAAAGTCTATTTTTAATATAAATTTGCTAATAACGTGGCCAAATTGTCTCTCTGCTCAAGGTCTTCATAGAAGACAGAATTCAAGAACAATGAACTAGGATATCTGGAAGGAATTTCTAAACAAAATGATTAAAGGAGCTGTGTGCTTGCCTTCTTGGAGTGTGATTTTGAGATGTCCTTTACTATTGTTTCTTATAGGCAGCATGTTTCGGTGTTTTGTTTGTTTTGTTTGTTTGTTTTTTTTATTTTTTTTTTTGATCCAGTACTCTTTGCTTTTAACTGAGGATATGTAGATTATATTTGCATTTAATATGATTATTTGTATGGTAAGGTTTTAACCTGTCATTTTGATGTTTTCTCTTTATCCCATTCTTCTGAACTTTTTGGATTAATTTAATATTTTTTTATTCTGTTTATCTCCTTTTGGGCTAAGTATACCTCTTTGGTTTTTATTGTTTTTGTTGTGATACTGAGTATTGAACCCAGAGGCACTTTACTCCTGAGCTCCATTTCCAGCCCTTTTTTTAAATTTGAGACTGAGTCTTAAGTTGGTTAGGGCCTCACTTGCTAAATTGCTGAGGCTGGCCTCAAATTTGCAATTCTCCTGCCTCAGCCTCCTGAGTTTCTTGAGATTACAATTGTGCACCACTGCCCCCACTCCCAACACTGTGGTTTTGCTTTTTTGTTTTTTTTAAGAAGTTGCCTTATGATTTGTGGCATGCTACTTTTTTTTTTTTGTTTGGACAGTGTCTTAATAAGTTGCTGAAGCTAGCCTCAAACTTGCAGTCTTCTCTGGCTCAGCCTCCCACATTGATGGAGTTCCAGATAATGTGCCACACCAAGCTCAGCTTCATGGCAAACAGGTATTTTTTTTTTTTAACTTTTTTTTTTTTTTTTTTTTTGGTGGCGGGGGTTGGGGGGTTGGGGGGGTGGATACCAGGGATTGAACTCAGGAGCACTCGACTACTGAGCCACATCCCCAGTCCTGTTTTGTATTTTATTTAGACAAACAGTCTCACTGAGTTGCACCTCGCTTTTGCTTAGACTGGCTTTGAACTCACATTCCTCCTGCCTTGGTTTTTTTTCTTTTTGAGAGTGGGTGTGGTAGCTATATATGTAAGTACTAGCCTGAGAGGTGTGAGTGGGGGTTATGTGTATGTTTGGGTCATATTTTAAGAAGAAACTGCTGTCACATTTTATTTCTCCATTCCTGGGTCTGAATATGTGGCACACACACACACACACACATATTATTTTGTTTTAAAAAATATTTAGTTGTAGATGAACACAGTATCTTTATTTCTATGTGGTGCTGATCAAACCCAGTGCCTCACATGTGAGGCAAGCACTGTACCACTGAGCTGCAGCCCCAGCTCTGTAGTATATATTTTTTAACAATATAGTCTACCTTTAAGCGGTATCACACCAGTCCACAAGACCTTCTAATCGTATACCTCCCAACTTAGTGCCATTGTTGTCATACATTTTGAATTTACATATATTAAAACCCATATTTGGGGTTGGGGATATAGTACAGTTGGTACAGTGCTTGCCTCACATGCACAAGGCCCTGGGTTTAATCCCCAGCACCACAAAACAAACAAAAAAAAACCAGTATTTTTTCTTCCTTTTTTGTGGTGTAGGGATTGAATACTGGGCCTCATGCATGCCACTAAATAAACCCTCAAACCCTGAAATACACCCTCCAACCCTGAAAATTATCTTTTGAAGAGATTAAAAATAAAAACTTTCATATATTTGCTCATGTAAAATATGTACTTTTTCCAATGCTTTTAATTCCTTAATGTAGATATCTACTTTTATCTGGTTGTTGTCTTTTGCTATAGGACTTAAAATGTTTTTTAATAGTATAATCTGCTGGCAATTGATTCCTTAGGATTTTTTTTAATGTCTTTAAAATATTTATTTCATGTTCATTTGTGAAACATTTTCACCAGGTATAAAGTTGTCATTGTAGAATCAGAGCCCATAGCCTCAAATGGTTCCCTTGTGCTGAGGGCAGGTATTGGAGTCCTAGGTTATTCTCTGGTGCTACTGCTCCCCCTTCAGCTTCTAGCTTCCCCCGCACACCTGCATCATAGAGAGGTGTCTGTCTCTTATCCAGTTGCCCCAGCAGCATACACTGCATAGGCTGCTTGTAAGAGCAGATAAGATTCTCTACTGTCCAAATTCAGTCTTAGGTGGACCTTTGTGCTTTTGACTTCTGAAGGGAAGTTTTTGTCAGCATTCTTGCTTCTCTTACCTGTGGCAGCCAAGCTCTGCTTTGGCTCTGTAGTTGGTATGAGACGAGTTTTCTATCCCACCTCCAGCAATGGTAGACCTATGTTTGATGTTCGTGGTTAACCCTCTTTCCAGGATAGAGAATCCTTGCATCTCCCCTTCTCTCAGCAGTAATAAATCGTTGCCTGAGTACTTCAAGAGGCAGATGGACTTCGATTCTATTTCTCCAGAAACAGTAAGTCAGCCAGTGCACTGATGGTCATAATGCTTGCAGTACCTTCCCCAGCAGGTTGAGAGAAGGGTCTGGGGAATCTGGAGCTTTGGTGAAACCTGATCTGATGGAGCAAAGCCTTCTGAGTGGGATTTCCCTTTGTATCTTGGGCCCACAGCCAGGACTGGCTTCAAATTCAGTTTAATGTCTGCTGTTGCCATCTTGAAACTCTTCATATTTGAGCAAGGGTTTCCACATTTTCATTTTGTACCAAGGCCTGCAAATTAAATAGCTAGTTCTTTTCAACCTGATCTAGTAGTCCAAGCTTGCCTTTAAAAATTCTAAAATCTTGCTGGATGTGATAGTATGCGCCTGTAATCCCAACTACTCAGGAGGCTGAGGTGGGAGAATCACTTGAGTGGACAAATTCAAGACCAACCTGCAACATAGAACTTAATCGCAACATATAAACAAGCATTTTTTTTTTAATATTTTATTTTTTAGTTTTCGGCGGACCCAACATCTTTGTATGTGATGCTGAGGATCGAACCCGGGCCACACGCATGCCAAGTGAGCGCGCTACCGCTTGAGCCACATCCCAGCCCCAAACAAGCATGTTTTTAAAAGTTAAAAATCTTAGCTTGTATAGTAGCTACTCATGTTCTTTTCCAAAAGGAACACAGTTCCTGTGTCCTTTCCTTGAATTCTTTGGAAGTAGTTTACACAATTGCTTTGCAGCCTCAGCTCAGAGCTCAAAAACGTTATGACTTTGTATATCATCCAGCTGTTCCCTGATTTTAGAGTAGGAGCAATATTCTTCATAGCTTCCCATGTCCTAAGCACAAATCCAAAATGCTGTATGATTTAGAAATTGTGTTTAGGATCTGTTTCAACTAGCAATTAACTGATAAAATTTAGTTCCTACCTTTTAAAGAATTTCACATTTAAAAAAAATTTCCTTCAGGAAAAGGTATTATGGTTTTTATTTTCCCTTTGCCACACAACAAACTATATTGTAGTGTCACTGTCAGAACCTAAAATGACTTTATATGTTAATAACATGACTATTGAGTTAAGCTTAGACGAGGACTACCCACATCATTACAATGAAGGAGGAAGTTTACAAAATAAAGCATGATGTATGATGAAAGGACAAAATTTTCTAAGAATCTCTGGCCTCAACATTAGAGAAGCTGAGTTTGAGTTCATGTAGTTAATGTCTCAGCAACTACCAGGGGCTTTCACTATTAACCTCAATACACTCTCACCTGACCACTTCGTATACTGTTTTGGAAGTACTCAGAAGCATATTTAATGTACTTAAGATGTAGCTTTTACATTTTGTTTTACTTCACTGAAGCATATTATTAAAAACTTTAGTAAGACAGGCTAAGTTAAAATAGGATTYGAGTTATTTTCCTTTCGACATTCAAAAAAACCAAAGCTTTAGTAAGTCACAGTTTCTCATAGGTCGCGTGACAAGTTTACAAATTCATGGGATCCTTTTTTAATCTTAAAGCCTATTAAGACCTTTTAACATTCAAATCATGGAAAATTTTATAGAACGTATAAAAGGATCCCATATACTTTAGTTTTAATATTATCTGTACCCCTACCTATTCACCCCACTCCTGATTATTTTGAAGCCATTTTTTACCCATAGTTTCTATCATATTCTAGAATATATATTTATTTTTTTAGTATCAGGGATTGATCCCAGAGGTACTTAGCCACTGAGCCACATATCCTCCCTCCCACCCCCATTTTTGTCCATTTTGAGGCAGGGTCTGTTCCTTAGGGCCTCACCAAGTTGCTGAGGCTGGCCTTGAACTTTACTTTTTTTTTTTTATAATATTTCTGTTGACAGACCTTTATTTTATTTATTTATATGTGGTGCTGAGAATCGAACTCAGTACCTCACACATGCTAGGCAAGTGTTCTTATCACTGAGCCACAACCTCAGCCCTGGCCTCAAACTTTTGAWCCTCCTGATTTAGATCCTGTGTTGTTGGGATTACAGGCATGTACCACTAGCTAATATATACCTTTAGAAATAAGGATTCTCTCTTCCCACTTACCTTTCCTCCTCCTCCTTCCCCATACTCTTGTCACACCTACAAGAAATTAATGATTTTTTTCCACCTCATTGCTAGATGGCTATGGGTCATCAGTAGTTCCATCTCCCTGTATTAAGAATACTGCTGGGGCTGGGGCTGTACCTCATTGGTAGAACGCCTGCCTAGCCTGTGTGAGGCACTGGGTTCAATCAATCCTCAGTACCACATAAAAATGAATAGAAGTATTGTGTCCATCTACAACTAAAAAWTTTTTTTTAAATGGCTTTTGTAACCAAGGAAACAATTAAGTATCTCTATTTTTAGCCTTTTAGTGTTGCACGAAACTGTAAATGTTGTGTTAAAATGTCTGAATTGGGCAGTTGGGCATATAATCCCAGCAACACTGCAGAATGCAGGAGGATCCCAAGTGTTGAACAACTTAGTGAGACCCTGTTTTTTTTTTTTTGTTTTGTTTTTTAATATTTATTTTTTAGTTGTAGTTAGACACAATAACCTTTATTTTTATGTGTTGTTGAGGATTGAACCCAGGGCCCCGCACGTGCTAGACAAGCACTCTACCCCTGAGCCACAGTTGCAGCCCAATGAGACCCTGTTAAAAAATAAAAAGGTCTGGGGTGTAGCTCAGTGATAGAATATGCCAGGGTTCAACTCCACTTTATCACTACCCCTCCCCCGAAAAAGAATGTCTGCATTACCATGCCAAGAAATAGCCCTGAAGATTTTTGTGTTAGAGATTGGGGTGATGGCCTGGCATGGTGGTGCACACCTATAATCCCAGCTGTTCCAAAAGCTAAAGCAGGAGGATTTGGAATTCAAACAACTTAACAAAGACAACTTGGTGGGACCTTGACTCTAAATAAAATACATAATAGGGCTGGGCATGTAACTCAGTGGTGGAGTGCCCAAGTTCAACCCCCAGTACCAAAAAAAGAAATTGGGTCAATGAAGCCAGGCACAGTGGTTCATGCCAGTAACAATAGTGACATGGAAGATAAGGCTAAGGCAGGATAGATAGCAAATTCAATGGCAGCCTCAGCAACCTAGCAAGACCCTGTCTCAAAAGGGACTGAGGGTTGGGTGTGATAGTTCATGCCTGCAATCCCTCCAACTTGGGAGACGCAGAAGAATTACAAGTTGGAGACCAGCCTCAGCAATTTAGTGAGATCCTTCTCAAAACAAAAAATAAAAAGGGCTGGGGACATAGCTCAGTGGTTAAGTGCCCCTGGGTTTAATCCCCAGTACCAAAAATAATAAAAGGGACTGAAGAAGTAACAGTAATAAAGCATCCCTGGGTTCAATCTCCAGTGTGGGGGGAGGGGAGGATTATTCTAGGCCCTGGGGGCAGGGTATAGCAGAGTTTTGATTCTCCTCAGCTTCCTAAGCCACTGGCATTAGAGAGTGCCACTGTTGTTACAGTTTAATACAAGGAAAAATTGGACTTTGAAGTTTTGACATTTTTAATTTTGAGAAATACAACAGAGTAAACATTCCAACTTATAAGGTTTTGAAAGGTTTGATTGGATTGTGAAATATATTCATTGTGGCTGGGGGTATAACTCAGTTGGTGGATTGCTTGCCTCACATGCACAAGGCTCTGGGTTCAATCCCCAGCACAAAAAAAAAGAAAGAAAGAAATATTCATTGTGTGGTAAAATGGATTGAAGAGAAAGAAACTAAAGGCCTATGACTTTGGGTTTTGTTTTTTTTTTTTTTTTTTGGGGGGGGGGGGGGGTACCAGGGATTGAACCCCCAGGAGTGCTTAACCTCTAAGCCACATTATTAGCCTTTTTATTTTTTACTTAGAGACAGGGTCTCGCCAAGTTGC